TATTGTCGGATCCAGGATTTCAAAGAATATGGTTTATTTCTTTCCAATAATCTCACAAACATTGTCCTTTTCTTCACAAAAATCCTCGAGACCCTTCTATGTTATCGCTCACTCTCCACTCGACTCCAACGTCGAGGAACATCGTGCATCATTTCGCATTCTTTTCTTCGCCGTCCAGGCGGTTCGGTACGGAGAAAGGAAACGAGCTTCTCGAGAGAAGAGAGATACACATACCTAGTGTAATCGCGAGAGACTCGCGAATGGAAGCCGTTACGAATGTTTTCCGATGGTACGGGCTGCTACGGCCTTGCCATGAATATCTCCTCCGAAAGAAAGTACTTATACGCGCTTTACTGCGCGCGAGGCGAAGCGCACTCCGTTCTTATGCAAAATCCATTCGGGAATAGAAAACGAGAAAAGGCGCCGCGCCACCCTGCGCCGTCGCCATGAAACGTTAAACAAAAGAGGGACTCGCAAGCGAAACGAAAAATAAAACTGAAAATTCTCTGCAGCCGCGCGACGCGTTTCGCGCAATTTCGACATTGTGACGGGGATTTACTCCCGTCACATGATGTTGCAGAAGCAATAAAAGCTGCGCAAGAAAACCAATAGAACAAGGAGAGAATTACTCATCCGAGTCTCAGGATGCAAACGGAGACATAAATAAAAAAAAAAAAAAAAAAGAATCCGAAACACGCGGAAACATCGCGTATGTTGTACATGCGCTAATCCATGTGAGAATCGTGCTTTTTTACGTGCCGCGACTGATGATTTATCCACACACATGTAGATACACAAAATAAACAGAGTATCTACATCTGACTACTTGGTCTCGGATAGATGTAATGCAGATTTAAGAGAATTTTTGATTTAGTATTCACAAGGAGGCAGACTTCTTACGATCGCTATTATTCATTTATGTTGCTACACATATTGCGGTTCTTATTAAACTTCTAGAGTAGTTCTACTAACTTCTTGCCTGGAGCGCGGCACAACTTTCCTACTTTACCCAATTTTTCATTTAAAGCTGGTGACTGCACTATTTCAGCACCGAGCGCCAGATGACAGATCGATCAGTGACGAGATGAAGGCGCGCGTTGATGTATTTACGATCTCACATCCTCACGAGCGTTTTCTTATTTCCGTAAGAAAATGGACGAGAAAAGCCTCGTTACTGCCAGAGAAAATCGTCACTACGACGTGAACCCGCAGGAACAGATGCGCCGAAGTGGAGAAAAAGAGGCGCGAGACGTATGATCCGCGTTTCCATAAAAATTTCATGTCGACGAGGTCCTGCGGGACAACCCCAATGGAAAAAGCTTAGCGCGCACAAAAGCAAAAACGATCATTAAAATTCAATGCGCATCTCCGAACGGCGCACGAATGTCAGATCTCCCCGAGCGTTTCGCTTCTCCCACTTTTCACTCGTCGCATTCCTGCGTATTGCGACTAAATCATGACGGCGCACATCGTCAGTTTATATATGCGAGTGATATACATATGTGTGTACATATATATGTATACACATATGTATTTATCTATAAATATAAATATATATAGGTATATTGGTTTGCTTCAATAACGCAAATAGTAATTTGATATCGAAAATTAAGGAGAGAACGCATACTGCGCGCGTTCGTGTTGTTCAATTTGCGTTCCGACTGCAACAGGCTACACGATACAAATCGATACGAGTTTCAACACGCTATACAAGAGAGAACGAATAAGGCTTGCAGAAACGCCATATCCGCGATAACGCTGTCGTGAGTTTCACCGATATATCGGAAATTCGTGGATGCGATGTGGGATTCGCGTCCGCATCGGTCACACATTACACTCGAAAAGGAAGTCAGCCAGTCTGATAAGTTATGCGGAAAGAGAATAGACTATAAGTCCGTGTGTGTACGCTAACTGACGCTCTATATGCATTAGACGTATGCGACATCCGGTTGCTCGAAAAGGCCTTGACAGACGTACGACCGGAAGCGGTGACGCGTTCTGCAAAGTGGCGTATCCCGTTCTCTGTTAGCTACCGCGAGTCAGTAATTTCAGGAACAGTTCATAGCGAGCCGGGTAAATAGGTAAACGGTATACACCGCGCGCTGCGAGCATGTATAACGCAAGAGTTCATATACTATAATGTCGGTCTTCGCTGTCCTATTAAATTAATTCATAAAGCACTGGCAACGGAAAACAGAGAGATTCCAGATATATATATATATATATATATATATATATATATATATATATATAGATCCGAGATAATAATATAACAAAGAGCTAACAGATTAAACCTTGTAGGAAAGATAATACGTGAAACAATATACAATATTATATGTACGTAACATATATATTGTAAATTAAAAGAGACGGAGTTTCGTATATTTTTTATTAATGAAAATAATTATTGTGCCATTCCACACACATATTTATAAAAGATGTATCTTTCTATTGTTTTCTGATAACCATGTTATTAGGAGCAACGGCAGTTTAGTGGTTACCGTTAATTTACGCATCGAAATTGAAGCGGCAAATCGCGTTTACTGCCCTTACCACGGTGTTTAAGCTTACCACACAGCATGGATTACTGCATATATTGCTTCACGTGACGCATAATATAATTTAAGATAGATAATTGATTGTGTGTATTCGCGCAGCACAGAGATACACGTACATATAGATAGATAGGAAATACAACTGTGTAATTTTAAATGTAGAATCATATATTAATTACAAATCAAATGTTTATGAGACAGATATCGATAAGCGCAAAATTGCATGTTTTATATATACATATATATATATATATAATATTTAATTTTTTATATGTAATGTTGATAATTAAATATCGCTAAAGATTACGACTTATGTACATACAACGATAAATTCAAATTTCATGCTCTTTTGAAGTATCCTGGAATGAAATATAAAGCAAAAAGAGGATCGCACTTTACCTTTATATACGTTGCTTTGTCGTGCTTCCGCTTGACAATCCCTCCGCTCATACTTATAAACGTCCGATGCAACGCCAATGAATTACGTATACGCGACCGAACACAAAGCTCAGGAAAAATAGATGGAAAAATAACCGCGATCTATCTCGGCGTACGACAATCTGGAATAATGAAAGAGAGGATTTCCCAAAGGCGAATAAGGGATTTGCGCCGCTTACGAAATCTGCATCGCGGGATTAACAAATATTTTTCCAGGGCACGTACGTATATAGCACTTCGGCGTGGCACCGCGCTATGTATTTTCACTATATTCCTGGCTGTGCATTTTACCAACCTTGCGCGCAATCCGACTCGGTCCTACCTTTCGCGGAGCTCGTATATTGTACACGCACGGCCATTGTAGCTGCACGTTCATGGCTCTCTCACCGCGAAAAAAGCCCTCCAGCTGCAGTTTAAAAACGCACGCGGCCTCATTTTTTCCCCTCGCTCGTCTCCTACATTCCCAACGGCACCTTCGCTTGACCGACCATCCGTGTTGAAATTGCATTTGTTGCTTTTTTACTTCTGACCATCGCGATGTTGGTCCGGAAGAATGATAAGAGCACACAAGACAAATCACACAAATTGACATTTTGTTAGAGAATTTTAACAAAAGTACACACGAGCAAATTTTAGTAGAAAAATATTTCTATTAGAAAAATTAAGGTAAAACTTTGAACAAGTGGATTGTTCAAATTATTTGTGCAAAATTTTTAGTTTTACGTAGACGTGAAACAAAACTTCAAAAACATTACGTAGAATGGTAATAATCTTTAGCCCCGAAGAAAAAACAATCCAGAATAAACCGTGACCTGTTTTAGTCAGTTTGTTTATGCAGTTATATAAAAGATAAAAAGTTTGCGTACCGATTATTGTTTTTCTTATTTCGTTTTTCATGCAGCTGTTATAGCTCGTGGTAAAGCAGGTAAAGTAAATTAAATGAAGTGAGTCCGCGTGAGTGGTCGGACACTGCATAGTGCCGGAAAACAACTATAATGGACATAAATGTCTTTTCCTCGTCTCTTTTTAAATACAAGTTTTGCGAAATGTTACACACCGACTGTGTATACGCTCTAGCAGTTTGTAGTAGCAGCATTACGTAAGCGCGCCGCGCTGAATATAATTCCGAAATATATTACACGCGCGCTGAAATATATTCCGCGAAATACCAAGACGCCGTTCCTTGCTTCGTCTAGTTTCTTCCTTTTGTTACAGCTGCCCTCTGATACCGTATAAAAGCAAATGCCACCGTGTTGCGGTCAGATATCGCGCAAGAATTCAAGTAAACGACCTCGCTGATTTAAAATTACGTCCCCCGGGATACAAGCCTCCGACGTTTCGTCTGATTTTCGTCATAAATTATTGCGAGTTTTATTTCGTTTATTTTCGTTTGCGCTTATTTCACGCATACAAATCGGGTGGTTTTTCATTCGAAATTTCTTTTTTTCGAGAAAAATCCTTTCTTTTTTTTTATTATATTTGTTAGTATATTTGGTATCTAATTTAGGATCTAATGCTTTGTGACGTTTCTTTCTTACAATTCCGCATCCAATATCTCGACGTTGATGACCAGCTTAGGGGCATATCATCGCCTGATTCCATTAGCCCTCCCGTGCTCTCGCACAAGTCAACCATATCCCTCTATCATCGTCGATTTCGCGTTGCCGAGATTGGCGCGGCGTCGACGTCGACGCGTCGAGTTGTTTCCCCAAAATACAATTCTCTCGTAAATGAGGGTAGATATTCCGAATGATAGGCTGAATGCGAAGGTTTTGCGGCGTGCATTTTAATGAATTCGCTGTCCAATCTTGTTTTCCAGTAGCGCAAATACCTTTGGGAGAACAAAGAGAGAAGACGAAAAAGAGAAGAAGCCAGAGAGAGAGAGAGAGAGAGGGAGAGAAAAAGAGAGAGAGAGAGAGAAAGAGAGGAAAAAAAAGAAAGGGAACTGCAAAGGCGGTGGCGACGGCAACGAAGGGCGAGGAAGGCGGCGGGGTGAACCGGAACCGGAAATGGCTGCGAGGTGGCTGCTGCTGCTGCTGGCGCTCCTCGCCGCCCACACCGCGGCTCTTCCTGATTTCATCAGGATAGGTGAGTATCTTTCCCAGCTTCCCTTAGTATGAAAGCCGCGACCCTTTCGACCGCTGAATAGCGTCAGTAAAATTATTATCAATGTCTCGGTCGATAATAGTCGCGAGAAGAGAGACGCTGGCACCACTTGGTTTCGCGTGAAATAAAGTTAAGGCTAAAAGGGAAAAGAAGGTATATTATAAGCAGATCAGAAAATATCTCTCCTACTACTCCGTTAATTTTAAATAGATTGTAGCTCAACGGAATCTTGGTTCCAGTTTTCTAGTTAAAAATCTAGGTAACCCAATAACATGTACTCAGATTTTCCTGAATCAAATAAATTCGCGCGAGATATGTAACTTCTTTTTTTTTCTCTTTATTAAAATTTGAACTGATTCAAACGTATACGCGACGAACAAAGCTTTTAGTCTCTTATATTTCACATATCTAGTTTTTTTATATTACATATAATTCATTATATATAATACAATATCGTAACCGTATATATCATTTCTACCTTTTTCTTCTTCTATATTTCAGCTTTTGTAATCGTTAAAAATAAATTGTAGTTTTAATTTTACTTAAAGAACTGTTTTTTATTGTTTTTTTTTTTTTTTTTACTGATTATATTGCGTTTGTAGCGTTATTTTTGATTTGCACGTTAATGAACGCGTGGAGTTGCAAAATATCATTATATACGCTGTAGCGCGTGCAGCTTCGTGAAATCGGAAAAGGCAAATAATTGAAATTAACGATAGCGATAAAAGACTGGATTGCTAAAATAGTGTTCTGTTTAATTGACATTGATGTTGGTGTGTGTGGAAAACAGACAGCGGGACGCAGATAACATGCATTTTATTGATGCGCGACATTTACCGAAATGGAGCTGTGTCGTGTTGTTCGCTCGTCAAAGAATCCGATACTAACTATACTACCGCGCATGGTAGCGGTTATGTAGCACCGGGCATTTCATAATCAAATGTTAATCAGCATTTCGTGGATATATGATATGACATCATATCTCTCTTATGTATTATTGTACATTAAAAAAAAAAAAAAAAAAAACATACAAAGAACGTAATGTACATATGCGAGCAAAACGATACATCGAAGGTCCGAGTGCTCTCTGAACTTTTATCGAAACGTAAATTCATGTTGCACTCGATTTCCCAACGCTTTCTTTTCCGAAGTAGCGAGGGAGAGAAGCAGAAGCGGATCGATATACACGTACATGCTCCAGGGAAACGCATTTGCTGCGAGTTTTGATGCATTCGTTCGTGCTACATCCGCGCTTGTTCCGTGGTGTATCACCAATGGCGTGTACGGCCAATACTCTTCTGTATCGGAAAGGATAGAGCTGGGAAGCGAAGGAATTTACCGAAATGGGTAGGAAGAGAGACTTGGAAAGACACAAGAGAGAGAGAAAGAGAGAGAGAGAGAGAGAGAGAGAGAGAGACATCGTCAGAAATTCCTTTAGCTTGCATTACGCCGATTGAATTTTAAACGTTTCGCATTTCTCAGCTTTCTAATTTTTCCAGCATCTTCTCTTCGGCGCTCGTTCAATATTGATTGTAACTTTCTCTCTCTGTCTCTCTTTCTCCCTGTTTTTCTTTCTTTCTCTTTGTTGCTGCCGCTTCTGCAATATTTCAATCTGCCTTTTCCATCGTTATTACTAGTCAAACCATTTGCATAGTTTCTCTTGTTAAGAAAATTGCGTTTGCAAATTGAATAACTTGAAAAGAAAAACAAATTCATTTACAGTGTCTAATAAAACTATATGGCGAGAGTGAGCACAAATGATACACACACACATACACACACACACACAGATAACTTTGTAATTTTTTATCTTGTAAAAGTTTTTTGTAAATATGGAAAAAAATGTTTTGCGCATAGTAATTTGTATTTTTTACTTGCGTGAGTTATGAAAAAGTACAACTAGTCCTATAATTTGTATTGTACGTTTACAAAACGTTGTCTCTTTTGCGCTTTTGTAATTAGGAGTGCGAAAAACTTTTTCGTTTTAGAATGACAACCTTATTATTTGCTCGTTAGTATCAACGTTTTTATAAATGTTGCCTCATGGACCGTCAAACCGATGTCAAAATGAAAAGCGGAGCGCACACAGTGTATATTTACTTCTCGTAATTTACATACATAAACCGACGATGGTAAACTTGGCGTTTTTTGCGCACATAATTATGCGCAGATTCGATGTATAAAAATACTAGAAATAAACTCGGGTTTCGACATATTCGAGTGGAATCAATTTACTCTTTTTATTGCGTCGCAACGATGATTTAAAAGAGACCGCTTCTATAAGAAATAATTGAGTGTCAATCAATGTATTTACTTAAATTCTCACTTAAATTTGACAAGAAAAAGTCTAACATATTTACATAAACGTGAAATTTGAACAAAATATTTTCGACTATTTGTTTTATAAACAATATATATCTATTGCAACTATTTGTTCGACACAGCAATTCGCAATAGGTATTTAATTAACTTTTCGACAACAAATCGTTATATCCCAAGCGATTTTAACACATTTTTCAGTTCTAATTTCCTTTCTTTCATCGACAGAAGCTTTATAAATGTGTTTATTGTTATTTCCACCTCAACTAATTCGGTCAAAAATATTGAAATTTATTCTCTCGAAATACCGATTTTGCTTTTTCTCATTTTATGTCACCTTAACGCTATTCGGTTTTTCCGCTCTCGTTCGTGTTATTACGTTCATTATTGTCACAATCACCGCGGCAAATCGACCGACCTTACGAAGTACGTCTATGTGAATCGATAACGGGTCACTAACGAGAGACGTAAATCTATCCCGCAAATTCTATAAATCGCAGAGTCAAGCCGGCACAGCTGCTCGTACAGTTACTTTATGACGTACACGAGATTAAAATCAATTTATGGCGCCAATTTCTCCCGACCGAATGAATTGGAAGGCGCGGAATTTCAGCGGTCTGCCCGAAGAACTCTGTCGAGAGCACTTATGCGACGCGAAATGAAATGATAGTAGACAGTAGTAATTATTTGCGTGTCAAGTTTATTAATCAAATAAAAATAATTTCGTGAAGAAAGAAGCACGCGAAGTGAAATGAATCGAATTTAATAACGATAGATATAGTCTACGAAACAAAATTTATTCCCGTTGTAACGATCGAACTTTTATAAGTCTCGTAAAAGTTGTTTTCCTTTATGCGTGTGTGTTATCTTATTTTAAATCACGGAACGCACGCAGAAGAACGTTACAAGAAGGTAACAGAGTTCTGGTTAGGAACTTTGAACGGAGGTGTAAATAGAACATAAATCTTTATCGTTTGCCGATATCAGCGGACGTAAGAACCAAGAAAAAGGTATAGGGTGGTTGTGGAAAAAGAAAAAAAACTGTGACGGTGTGGGTGGAAAATAAGAGAGCGTGTACACACGTGGATCTCGTCAAAGTAGCACCTTTTAATATGGATGCGTGATTTCCCAGGCGGGTTGTTTCATCCGTCGGATGACAAGCAGGAAGTGGCCTTTCGCTATGCCGCGGAGAAGATCAACGCCAACCGGGACATCCTGCCCAAGTCTCGTCTGAGCGCTCAGGTCGAGGTGATACAGCCACAAGATAGCTTCCACGCTTCAAAACGAGGTGAGTTTCATAATTGAATCGGAAATACTCGGATGATACGAGACACCGGTTATCCTTCGCTAATCTCACACATTTTCTTTCGGAGATTATTTTTATAGCGTCAACGCGTGTACATTTTTTAACTATTCTTTTTTTTTTTTTTTATAAAATTCATCGCGATTAGTTTTTTTTTTTAACCATTCTCTGTGCATGAAATGTTCTATTTGTTAAAATTAACACGTCTGAAAATACTATTTGTTTATCTATTGAAAGCCATTCCTAATTAGTATCGGCAAAAAGTCGGACAACTAAGTACAACAGCTTGTAACGTCGTAAACAAAGGACGGATGCCGGGAATCGTTTCGCGTTACTTCACGGCACGCGAAGTCACGCGAAACTGTTTCGAAAATTCACGATTCGCTTGATGTGCGAAATAAACTCCATTTACGCGATTAAGGAGTCCGAGACATCGTTGCTCGCCATGAAGCTTCATTTTCGCATAGCGGCATCGCACTGATGCCAGCAACTGCGCTATGTGACGATCTTGTTCCGCTGTACATGTTAGAGAACTCCCAAATATCCTTATCTCGAGTAAGACACAGCTCGTTTCCTGCGCTAAATTCTGTTTCTTGTAGTTTCGGCATGTTTAGTACATCGCTCGCGCGTCAGTGAGGAACAAAGTTAGTTGCCGACGTGTTAAAAATTTTACTTCACTCGCAACACGACATTCGTACGCGACATGATAATCACTCGCGTACACATATAAGTGATTAAACAAATATAGTTACGGTTTTGTCAAAATTTATATAAATCCAAGTGTAATTTGAAAATAATTCTAAACGCCTGGTATATGAGCGGTCGTCCAACTATACACACACACACAGTCAGAAATTAATAACGTCCAGCGTAAAATAACAACACACGGAGATAGGTATTTGCGAGTAGAATTAACCAGGGCCAACGTAATTAGCATGTCGAGTTACTAAATGATTAAAGCGAATGGCGCATTCTAAATATGCACACGGCCAAGTCGTATGCAGACGCATCGGTCATGCCGCGCCGGTCGCGCGAATGTACGAGTCGGTGCAAAGCGCGCGCGCAAGCACGGGAGTTGGATGACCGAATTTGGCGTAGTTCCAGGGCAGTATTACACCGTGAAAGCAATTTTATTGATAAACTTCTGTTTGCCAGAAGTTAACAAATCTTTTTGGGACATGGCGATCGCTGCTATACGACAACCGACTGTACTAGCCCGGCGCAATCGCGTCGCGCACACACATTTCAACGTAACTCGAATTCGCCGCCGAGGGTGATTCGAAAAATTTATCTCCTTTCGTAATTCAACGACGAAATAGCCGGAGTGAACGAACGAGGAGAGAACCTGTCGAATACGAAACTCCAAACTTTGTTAACAATACCGTACTCGCCGCGAGGCGGTGCTTGTAATTGAGGTTTACAAGATTCGTGGATTTATTGCGATGTAAAATAATAATATGAATAATATTAATGTCTCATTCTGATGTAGATTTAAGACGTACTTATGTATGACGTGTACGATCTCGTGACTGGCATTATTCATATGATTAGCGATTCAATTGCTTCTCACAGTCATATCCGGGGAAAGAAAAGAAAGAAAGAAAGAAAGACGGAAAGAAAGAGGAGAAAAGAAAGGAGTACTGATAAACGGTTGTGCGCGACGTCGGACGCAATAGCGAGATAAATTAAATGCTGGAAATTCACGTCAGGTCTTGTGTTCTTCTCGTCGTCTCGGTTTGGTGCGCCTCCGGGGCGACGAACCTCTTCGTTTGACAAACAGAACGAGAGGATGGTCGTTTGGACTCGCCGTCTTTTTACGATACAACGGAAAAACAAACGGGGACTGCGGTGCCTTTGTTCGCTTCGTACCTTTGCGCGGGAACGCGGTTGTTGGTAATACAATTTTACGATTCCATTCTTGGCTGTCTCGGAATTTTCGGTAATATAGCCTCTCGTTCTCTTCACCGTGAAACGCGAGTTGAAACGGAAGTTAACGAGGATGTGCGCATTTGATTATGCGCGCCGCTACATTGCGCACCGTTTGAAAGAAACGCGCCAACGCAACAGCGTTTAAGCAATAGCACGACAATTTCACCAAAGACTTGTCTCTGAATTCAATTTCAGTATGCATCGCGCGCAAGGAATATTATTCAGAACGTGGAGCGATTCGGAGCTCTTATGCAAACAACGTCATATCGGGTGATAATCTTTGCAAAGCATCGAGGAGATTTTCCTGATCTCTTGATGTACTTTGCCGAAGAAGTGGAGATATTTTGCAAACTAATCCGATCAAAATTTTGTTCTTCGTTTTATACGCTTATAAAAAAGTTGAACGTTGAAAAATGATTAAATATTACGATATTGACGATCGCGAGACCTCACTCGAAACATTATGAATTAAAATAATTCCCTAACGAGGTAGAACTACATTACAGTAATTTGCCGTATGAATATTTTCTCTATCCAACGAGCAACTTTCTATTTAGTTTCATATACGCGTTGGGGCCTGTATTAGGGAATTACTCATTAACTCGGTAACTCGAATGTATTATTCATTGATTATCTCGTAGCTATCGCGTGTACGAAAAAAAAAAAAATTTGCAAACCTGGACGTCCCTCGACGTCGGAACGGAAATGAGGATATACCGAAACGCTCTTGCGAAAGTATAAGAGACGCCTGTGATATTTTACGCTTACGACGACGGCGCTTGGCTAGCGTGTCCAAGGGACGTTTCCGTAACTACCCACCCGTGAGTGAAGTAACTCGCGGCACATCACCCCTCTACTACAAGCGGTGGTGTTGTCTCGCTCGTTTCACTTTCTCTAAGCCAATTTCCCCGAAAACCATCAGAAGGAAACGAAAAGTTCTTCGCCAGAGCCGTGGGAACAGCCACAAGCTGTGCGATGCCGAGATGGAGTCGTCCGCTCTAATTTCGCCGTAACTTTTAAGGTTTCTTCTTTCGCATTGTTGCGCAAACCTTCCCGGGGACGTATTGAACGTGTGGAGAACGGCGCGAGTTTCACAAAACTATTTCAAATCCGTGGCTACGGCACGTGATTCCGAGTCCGAAACAAGAGAAATTGAGAGATACACGTGCGACGCGCGTCGTTTAACTTTCCGTTTTCAAAGCTCGTTTTTGCGTTAAGTTTCATATTTAAGAGCAAAGCAACTTTGTAAAATAATAATCGACATTGTTTATTTATTTTTTTATTTTTTTTTTTGGAAGAGAAAATTTCTCGAGATGTATTCACATAAGAAATGTTCAATGATGAAAGTGTAATATAGGGGTTGAGCTCGGGAGATCGCTATTCCTAAGAGAACACATTTCAATAACAAAGTGACATCTCGCTCTGTTGTTTATCAAAGGGAGAAAAAAGATTACAGTATTTTGTGTCTCTGTAATTTCTTTTATTGTGCAAAAAAAAAAAAAAAAAAAGAAAAAGCATGTTGCGTCGCTGTAATTTATCGTGACAATTGCTCGCGCTTAATAATTTCGCATTTCCGGATTTCTGCGATTGCAAAACAACACATCGTCATTTATAAACCTCGATAGTAGTAACGTTTATTAAAGCGGCTACGGAAATACCGGTCCGGTATATTATTCTCCACAAACGAATTGCTAATTTGCGGGTGGCGATTAAGCGTGACCAATCCCGTGAGTAATTATATACAGTGAACGCCTGTACTGCGCGACGTACGCTCATTAGCAAGCGCGTAAACAATGCAAGTGCAAACCGCGCTCTCAACGAGTGCGGTTCGAACGTAACGACGTGTTGTCTTCCTGCGGTGTGATTTCCGATCACGTTCTCGTGCGTCAACGGACGTTGGATACATGGGCTAGCAGCAGCGAGATTGCCAGCGGAAAAGGACAAGAACTGAAGAAAACGAAATCGTCAAGTTCCGCTACTATGCAGTCATGAATAATGTAGTCGCGTTTCTCGCGTTGACAAAATGTTATTTCTTTTTCCCTTATGTATGGTGTGTATATATTTCGCACACACTTGGCAGAAACCTTGCCAGAAATAACTCACGCGCGACAACGAAAATGGCGTCGCAAAAATCGTAGAGAGCTAAATGAAAACACACGCGTTTAATTCATAATGAGAAGAGAGAGAGAGAGAGATATCAATATAATGAACCTCATAATTAACATAATGTCTACCACATGGTGGTTCAGTCGGCAGCTGTTTATCCCCTACCGCGCAAATCTGTCGTGGCCAGCGCCAGATGGTCGGGTTTCGTATACCCACAGCGAACCTTCTAAGTATGCATTAAATGTCGCGTCGTGCAAACGCCGTAGCCGATTTAATCAGAACACACGTAGCGCGTCTTGTTAGGACCGAGCCAGTTTCAGAATACCGTCATACACTCTCTTCCTCGCGGCGAGCAAACTGTTGGCGAAGAGATGCTCGCTCGGACTCGTGGCGTGAGTTAGCTTTTCATGCAATTACGACGGAAGAGTGAGAAGGGAGTAAGCTGCATAAAGGCGCTAGCCGGTTCGGAAAGCGCGCCAGTGTAATTACGGTTTTGAGCTTTTCAATTACAACGGGCACCGTTCAACGCCACCCGCTTACAAACGTTTGCTCTTGTGCAATTCGCAAAATAAATTAGTTCTTTCTTTCTTTTTCTTAAAATCACACTCTGTCTGATCTACAGAGATTTTTTCATATACAATATGAGAATTTTTATACATACTTTTCTTTTTCTGTTTGCTAATCAAAAGTTGGCGGTATAATTGAGAATATAATATACATGTACGTACATAAACATATAAATCTCGTGCAATATAGTTACCACAAAAAATGTATATTTAAATTTTTTCTTTGTAATAATTTTTCACGCGAGAGAACCGTGTAATCGGCTTCATAATATCTAAAATTTAAAACCAGGGAGATAATATATGTCCGATATGTAAATCACGATGCGCCCAATAAAATGCATGTATATAACGGTATGCAGTCCGTACAAAAAAGCCGGGCAAACGTTATGAATACTTAAGGGTCGCCGCAATTTCCGTTTTTCCTTTCAGTTTTTCACTTCGCAAAGCTCTCATCGTGACCAGGATAAATTGAGATGTGTTTTGCGCGGATTCGTATACGTACAATTAAACACCTATTTTACAGAAATGAAAAAAAAAAAAAAAAAAAATACAAAAGAGAACAAAAATTGTCAGAAGAAGTCATTTTCTCTTAAATATTAATTTTTATTAATATCGAAAATTAAAACCGATAAGTTAATATAATTAAGGAC